GTAAACAAAATTTATCTATCGGGTCTAGTAGATAAAGGAATTTGTTACTTCTATTTTCCTAGATTAATTTTTTTCCTACACAGTTTTATCTGCTTTTTCCCCTGATAAGTAAAAAGCTATTCTTAAGGTTTTTGTGCAAATATAATTTCACAGAAGAAAATTAATGCAGTTTTGTGAAATGTAATAGAAAAGCATAGAGGAGGTTTGCAATTTTTTTTCCCTTTTTTAGCCATGCTACAGAATCCAAACCAAACTATTCAAACCTAAGAATTCTAAATGACCTTTAAAATCTACAAGAAGATTGTTTTCATATTGCATTTAAGAATGTTCCTTGAAGTTAAGTTTCCTGCCCTAACAGAAGTTGTCTGTGTGACAGTGTGACATGGTGCTTGTGGTTCACTCCTGCAGTTGCAGCAGTGTGCTGCTTGGGACATGAAAGTCCTCTTGCAAATTCCCAGTAATTCCCCACCCATGCACACTTAGATGGTTGCACAGCTGTGCTGTGAGCTGTGCATCTCTGTCCCTGGTCTCCTGCTGTGATCTGGCCATCTTACTTTTAATATGAGTTCTTTAGGGGAAAACCCTTTCTTTATTTCTGTGTATAAAAAGAAGCCCCAAAACGTACAGCACGTGCATTTGGGCCCAGCTGGGAAATCCAGGTGATACTACAGCCTGATATCCACCAGAATGCCAGTTTTAAAAAAGAAAGGGGGAAAGGGTGGAAAGGAAGCACAAAACCAGCCGATTCTGAGCATTGTAATGAATTTATTTTGTTCTTTACCTTACTTATCAATGAATGTATTTAGTTGATCTGGTTTTGCTTTTGTTTGCAGCCCATTTGCTTTCTTATTCTTATGCCTCAGAGCATTTCAGTTTTAGTCACTGCATGACATCACTTAAACCAGAGTTGGAATGAAGTCCCGAAGTGAACAGTAAGCCAGTCTTCTCCAAATTTCATGAGAGGAAACTGCATTCACCATCATTAGCATAGGTTGGTAATGAATACTGACCAGTGTGAAATGAAGTTCAGCTTAGCTTAGATATTTTGTTTTGTTTTGTCAAGTTAGTTGTTTGTTAGCCTTGATTACAAACATGTTGTTATTCATGCCTCAATTCCCAAGTATCCGGCCTCTGAGTTTTGATGAGTAGAGTGGTTTGGAAAGAATCCAGATCAGTTCATGCTGAGGCTATGCACGTTAGTAGGACACTACTTAGAAAGTCTGTACATGGATTTTCTATGCACTTTTGCCCTAAAAAAGGAGTCCCTGTGTATATATGTGTGCATGTGTGTGTATATAGATACATTAATCTAAAATATTCAGCAATTTACTGTCTTGCATAAATCTTTATATTGTTTCACATCGTGTGTATTTTATAAAAAAAATCCAAATTTCCTTGTCCTTTAGGG